CGAGGACGAGGGTAGCGTATGTTTATTGAATCTTGGTTTGGCGCAGTAAAGTGCTGAACGCGGGGTAAGAACATACCGCGATCTGTGTTGTTGTTGTTGTTTCTTCCACGCCTCGGCATTCTCTAGTTAGTGAATAAGCTCTAACCTACTAGGGAGCGCGCGCGCGACAAGAGAGAGGAAGGGAGGAACGGCGAGGAAAGTCCGAGTAGTTGCTTGTTTTGCTCAGTCCGACAACACTTTTTATTGTATTTCTATTGTATTTCTATTGTTCTTCCTCTCCTCACCAGCCTCGTCTCGTCTATGTTCATCTCCCTTTCGAACGACTTCCAACGCACACGGGTCTTAGCTAGAAACCTTTTTATTTCTCCTCTCGGTAAACATATTCCTTTTACACATTCCGCAACGCAAATCCTCTACAAATAAGCCTTTCGCCCTTGCAACGTCTTCCCGCTGCCGTCCCCCCAACGCGGACGTTACTGTGCAGATAATCATCGACGTCCAAGCATAAAAATAGTCTACGACAAAGATATATAGTAGAATCCCGATATGAGCTGCAAAGTTATCGCACCCTCACATGAAGGTCTTTAACCATGTGATGATGAAGAAGGAGTTCGTTCACGCCCAGTCTTCGTCTAGAACCTAGCGAATTGTTCCGATATACAGGTGCGCATCCATCTGACAGTTACATACCGTATGTATATAAAATGTATATTCACAGAAAACGAGTCAGTTCATCGCATAGGCACTCCGGAATTCTCGCAAGAAACAACATAATGGAAAATGTGACAAACCTTCTTCTCCTACGCCAACAAAAAATTTGATTCCAGTCGGAATAAAACTGCAAAAAAAAAATAACCGGCGACGTTTTGTTAGCTTTTGTCCTTCGAGCAAGAAATAGATATGGTGCGTCAAAATAAAAAGAACCTTAGTCACCAAACTTACGACCCAAATGAATTTCCTTCGAGAACTAGCTCTCCGACGTACAGCTTCATCACTTGCTTCCTGTACAAAACAAAGTAAGCTCCAACCTCGTCCATACGAAGAGGCCGCGTTCCTAGTTTCACAACTCCCATTTCAATTGGAAGCTGAACCAAGTCTCCTTGTAAGTAAACCTTTCTCTCTTTTTTCCCCTTGTTGTACAAATAATAGTTCACTCCCATCGTTGTAACTTTTCGGTATACTTCTTCGTGGCTCCACGGTCCTGTGTAGCAAAGATGACTAAAAATGTCTCTCATATCGTCTGTAAACCGGAGCTTGGCGGCGGCCCGAGAGTTAAGACGGAGAATAGTCCCGATCTCAAGTTCCCGCCATGACAACAGTCCTCCAATGGAGGCAAATTCTTTCGCAACTGGAAGGCTATACGGGCGAACGAAGTTTGCCATTGCCGAGTTGGCGGGCGTGTAGGAGCTTGTGGAAGAAACAATTGAACCCGAGTTTTCCTCTAAAGCAGCATTTTCGACAGATTTCGCTCGTGCAAGGCGGATATGACATATCAGACATGTGCAGTAAGTCCTTGTATATGTGAGCTCATGTACTTGCCTTCGTGAACCACCATCCGTGAACTTGTCACCAAGAAGCAAGCTTGCCCATGCACTCGCCATATACTTGGTTCCCAAGCGGTAAAGCCTCCCTCCGATTAAGTCTCGCATGATGATTTGTAGATCAGACTCTGAAATCCCAAGTACAAATCCGCATCAAAGAAGTTAGTATGTATGATTATCACTGTCCAAGTCAAATCATCTCCCTCAACGTAATGTGAGGAAGACCTACCTTCAGTTGACTGGTTGATCTGATACGTGAAAGAAGAGCCATCCTTGATCGGATTCTTGTTGAGCAACCGGATGACAAGCCCTTCTGCCTTCATCCCTAAACGGTTCTTGATGAAATGAAGAAGTACTTGCTCGCCTTTCTCCACAGGACTAACACGCTCATCTGTCCTGGCGCCCTTGGCGCTCTTTTCTTTGCCCCGAACGTCTCCGAAGTACGGCTCGTAAGGTACAGAGTTGTTGGATGAGGGAGGGGCGTGGGAGCTTCCCGATATGCTTGATTTGCGGCGCCTTCGAAAACGGAAGGAGGGCAAGGGCATTTCACTCGTTGAGCTTCAAACAGAAGATGAGGTTATCATGGAGCTGCGCGGATTGTACGATTTGAAACACGTTCCTACGGAAGAATTGCGTTGAGAACTGCTGTAGGAATTGCAGGAGTACAGGACGCGTGACCCGGGGGCGTTTTCTTTTTTTTGGAAAGAGGAGCGGCAAAGCAGGTGTAACGTGGAGTAACCTTGATAAAAAATTCAGAACTATTTTTGCCCCTGTTGAAGAACCCGAGCTGTTGTAATGTTGAATTCCATATACCCTGTACGTAGACCTTCAATGTCTCGACACAAGTATGCCTAGAATGGGACTACTTTACTGGCGAAGACGAAGTGTTGGATCAGCGCCTGTGGGTTCTGATACTGTACAACTAATTACACTAGATTAATACGATTATTTAAAGAAGAGGTCGAGACTAAGTCTAGAGAGACTGAAGCATTTTACCCAGTCATGTGTGTTTCCGCTAAGCGCGAGCAGTGGGGGGGGGGGGGGCAAGTTTCCTTTTCTGCTCTAATTTTTTCTGTAAAAAAGGCAGGGCCAGCGGAGAAGACCAGATATGGCCTTGATTTCAGGGTCAGGTTGTGACGACATACAGTATTGTATATCTTACCATGTCGTGGATGCCGATGAGGGCTTTTATCTAGGTCTCGCAATGTTATGGAGTGATGCATTACAAGCGTTGAGCAAAGGCAGGGTCAGCTTGGTTGCCGCATCACCAGAGGCGGAAAATGAACAGCATGCTTGAGTCAGGCGACCCGATAGAAAGTGGTACCTAGGAGGCCAAAGAGGTTGCTTCTTGGAAATTACTACAGTGTACTGTAGTCCCCAAAAGCCATAATACGTCTTTGGGCATGTCCCCTGGATGATTACAGTGTCAGAAGTTCAGAACACCTAATTAAGTTATTTAACCATACATGAAAAGAAAGTCCCACCGGGAGAAAAACATTATCAAAAATTGTGACCACTGTGGGGCCCGTCAAGGGATGTATGATAGGCGCACGAAGGAAGATGGGTTCTAGCCAGCGAAAACGAATTCGTTGACGCATATAAAGCTGTTCAAAAGAAAATTTTGGCTTACAAGAAGCATTGTTCTTTAAGCTAATTTTATATCAGTAGACTAGAGACATTCCTTAAAGTGCTTTCTATTCGGTTTTACCTTCACAAAAATTTTAAAACGAGTCAACCTACCAAAGAAAAATGGAAACCGTTGACATCAAAGTTGAAAAGAAATAAAATTCGCAGATTTTTATGTGATGATAATGCTTGGTCGGATGGACACTAGAATTGACGAGCCGATGCTTCATCTGTGATGATGAACTTCTACTTGCAAAGAACAAAACTCAAATCGCGGTTTGCGTTGTCTAGAAGAAAAAAAACTTTCGTCCTCATATGAGGACTACACCCAAACATCGCAATTAAGTCTGGGCTACAGTACACTACCTCGTTTTCCAAAATATATTTACTGAAAGAAGGGGAAGCTGACCGGCTGCAATTCTATTCTGGAGAATGCGCCCATCTGCCTCTGCAATGGAGGAATGATATTGATATGCTTTTTTCAGTTGTTTCCCAAGTCGAAATACAAGACGATGATTGCCGCGGTCGCCGTGAGGCAGACAATGACGGCCGACTGTACTAGTCCTCTACTGGCCATCCGAAACTAGAGATGAATCTCAGGGCAAGCTGAAAGACAACATAACCTCGCTTATTATCACTCTCCTCCATGAGAAAAGTATCTGTCTTTGCACACCCGCTCTCGTCTGCTGTCACTCTTTACTAACGGTCCTTACACATGCCAACACGCATGTCTGCCGTCACCGTTCGCGTTGCAGGAACCTTCTGCGATGGCTGCAACGTCGCCATTTTTGATGTCCTGGCCTCATTGCATTTATGAACAGGCATATTCGCTTTCAGGTACACTGCAAAACGAATACTACGGGTAAAGCGGCACTGCATTTGAACGGTGAAAGCATGCCCGATGCTTCTGTACGTGCTAGCTGAACCGTCACTGTAGTCATTCTAGCTTGTGGTTTCGCAAAAGACGACAGTGGAACGTCGTCGTATCTTGTGTCGAAGCATAACCGTTAGAAAATAGGTTGGAGCATCGGAAATGGAAAAAGGTTTTGAAAGAGAATAAATATCCGCATTCACGTCCCCAGGTTTAAAAAAGCATTCGTAGATCACCGGTACTCTCGAGTCGGTCAGCTATGCATTTCCCACTTTGCTTTATCTTGAGCGCGAAGTTCCATATTCTTCACCTTCACGCTACCGTCACCAAGCAGGACTAGTTTGAAAGCATCTCCACCGTCTCGCTCCCATCTCAGCCCAGGCGCCTGTGACAATGACAAGGTATTGAACATCGTCCGTGCTGCCCTCCCGCACAAGTTATCAGTCATTGCCGGAGGCCAGACCCAACCCCACCCCGTGGAGAATGCAACACGGTTGCACCTAGGCCGCCGCTCCAATTTACGTTGCTGACCGCTCCTGCCCTGGCTGCATCCTCGCTATCGTCAAAGCGCTAACCAACTCGCCCCCAATCTCCAACGTCACAGTCGCCCTGTACGACCAGCAACAATGGTAAGTTTGCGAGGGATGCGGGGGATGCGGATAATGCCGCAGATGATAAGGGACATGGAAAGGGGTCTCTGTGGAGGTCTCTGGGAAGGTTGCAGAGGAAGAAGCAGCAGCTTCCGATCACGCAGTTTTCTTCCCACAGAAAATTGGATGCCGTCAAGCTTCTCGACCACGGCAGGGAAGAGGGTGGCGGTTTGACGTACCAAGTCATCTCTCGGAACGACCCGATCCTGACCGGAAACTTGGAGGCGACCGCCATTCTGCAAAAAGAGGCCCACCATCTCCGTTTTCTTTTTATCGGAGCACCTTTGTACCCTTCCGGTGGCGCTTTGCACGATGCTGTTCGCGCGGGTCGACGCGCTCGGTGCCAAAGGTCTGCACCACTTGGTTGGAGGGTCCGGCTTCCGCGTCGTGGATATCATCGCGTTTGTGCTTGCCACGCCAGTCCAGTTCCTCTTTGGCTTTCGCTTTTACAGAGGTTCATGGTACTCACTGAAGCAGCGCAGGGCGAACATGGACTTGTTGGTCGCATTGGGGACTTCCATAGCCTACTTCTTCAGCGTAACCCTCCTCGTTCTCAACACCGTACAGATCAGGAGGGGTCTAGAAGTCACGGAGGATGCGATGGCATTTGAGACATCGTCATTGCTGATCACGATTGTGCTGTTTGGGAAGTGGATGGAGACGATGGCCAAGAAGAAGACCACGGCAGGAGTAGAGTCACTTACCAAGCTCGCACCTCGTCTTGTTACATTGGTGTCCAGGCCGCCTTCATCGCAACCAATTTACTCTGAACCGGTCAATGCGGAGCTGGTGTCGGTGGATGACCACTTCCAGGTCAATCCCGGGTCATCGTTCCCCCTGGATGGTGCGGTGCAAGCAGGGGAAACAACGGTGGATGAATCCATGCTCACCGGAGAGTCGTGGCCAGTGCGCAAGGGCCCCGGGGATGCCGTGTACGCTGGAACTGTGAACGGCAGTGGTGCAGTCGTGGTGCGTTGCACAGCCAGCGACTCGGACTCGATGCTGGAGAAGATCATCGAGCTGGTGAAACGGGCGCAAGATTCGCGCGCCCCAATCGAAGCTGTGGCCGACAAGGTCTCAGCTACATTCGTGCCGGCCGTGCTCATCGTCGCGTTGGCCGTAATCGCAATTTGGTTTGCGCTCATCCAAAGCCCAGTAATCCCAGGCGACTGGGCAGACGGTGAAGGCAACGTGCTCTTCTCGCTGTTGTTTGGTCTTTCTGTGCTCATAATCTCATGCCCGTGCGCATTTGGCCTGGCGACACCGACCGTGGTGATGATGGCGACGAGCATAGGGGCACAAAAGCTGGGCATCCCGTACAAGGACGGCAGATAGGCGTTGGAGGCGCCGCACAGGGTGCAAACCGTTCTCTTCGACAAAACGGGGACATTGACAATCGGAAAGCCTGTTGTAACGCGCGCCTCCTCGCTTGCACTCGCTGCCGATGACGAAACCATCCTCTCCAGCTCAGACGACACGGCCCCCGATAACACCCTCCTCCACATCATCGGGACAGCTCAGTCGTTTTCCGACCATCCCCTTGCCCAGGCAATTGCCTCGTACGCCGCGGCTCAAACTGCACAGAGCATGGGCCTCAAGGACTCGCTCAAGGACTCGCTCAAGGACTCGCCCACGCTTTCCTCGCACCGAACCGTGGCCAGCAAGGGCGTGACGTGTGTCTTGGACGACAGCGACAGCGAGCTGCGCGAGGTGTGTATTGATGCTAGTTCATCTTTGTACTTTCTGTTATTTAAAAGAGAAGACCATGGCAGACTCAGCTTTTCATCGAAATGCAGTACATGGCCCTCTGAAAGCTCCTCTGCGTCTTGCAAGTTATTTGTGACAGCTGCTCTGATCTCATCTCTTCTAATCTGCTCTGATCCCTTCTGACATATCAGAAGGGAGGGGTCATTGATATGGAGATGAATGTGATGGAGACGAGCGGCCCCCGTTCCTGTAATCCATGGCCTCAGTACGGATTTCATCTTAACTGTCACAACTTACATTATCGGAGTGCCTCGCTCTCCAGTATCTCCCCGGTAATGCAGTGCATTCATGATATCAATCTGCATATAAAAGAATGGTGCAATCTCAGCACTATAAATGTTTTGAGAGACACGGTGACCAACTGCAAATGCATTGAACGGATAACAGACATTCTTGTTATCCCTTGCGCTGTACTTCATAAATCTCGACTTGGAATCATGGTTAATATTTTCATCCATGTCATAGAAGCAGTCTGCAAAAGCAAATATTACGTGTCGTCTATAGTGAGCCTATCTCATCTCTTCACCACCTCTTCGAGATATTCTACATTCCCTTCTGCAACTGCTTTTCTCTGCTCGATGGCGAAGCGGTCCTTTATCTTGGATGCCTTTTTTCCCCGGTCGCTTACGTTTAGAATCTTCGTAAGCTTCTCCTTGTCCATTCTCTTTCGTGACAAGGGCTTCGTCCTACCCGCTTTGGAAGCATTCTGTATAAATAAAAGGCGAACTGTCTTCCCCGGGGAGTGACATGCCATTAAATTTTTCCCATGGGCCTGCGCGTGTCTTATAACACTTCTAAATCTGGTCCACTTCTTGAACTGCTTCCAAGAGAATATTTTTTCTATCTTCATCAGTTAGCCGTCCAAAGACGTCTGAAAAAAGCATTGATCCATGGAGTTTTGCAATTACAGCTCCTCTTTTAGCAACAGCAAGAATCTCGTCCTGGTCCTTTTTATGGTCATCATCCTCGGTAGGACAGTGAACAAAGTTGTCTGACGCGCTGAGCCTCTATTTCTGATGCTTAAAAAGCTCGATCCCCTCATTATATGCAACATACGTGGTACAGTTCTCCCCTGAGATGCATTTCTGTCAAATTGAGAAAGAGGGCCAGGGAGCTCACCTTCGTCTCCCGGATCTCGCCGTCGACCAAAAGCTCAGTAGGCTGCAGTGGCACACCTAATTAAAGCACGTGGCATTGAAACAGGTAACAACCATGAAGCCGCATTCTGTAGGTGGTTACTAAAGTTCACGCTTAAATTTTTCGTCATGTGTGGACTCGTTTATGCTGATGAAATGCAACATCGAACAAATCGCGAGGATGGCCTGTTTGGCTGGTATGGCTGGACGCGTATGATAACGGGCCAAATTGGATCAGGATCAAAACTAGATCCTGTACCCGCCGTCGCAGCCGCTCTACAAATTGGAGTGGCGCACGCCCGCTTGTGTCGTCCGTTTGGTATGCCTCTCTCTTCCGAGAGTCCCCAGAACGTTGGTGGAAGGCACATTTCTAGTAAGGTCAAAGAGAAGAGGGCCGAGCGCTTGCTAGTCAAGTGCCAGGGAATTTAAGATGGCTGATTTCGCTGCTAGCGTGAAGAAAGTTGACGAGCTGCTACCCAAAGCGAAGGACGTCACAAAGGGGAAGACGATCCCAGAAGCTAACATCGATCTAGCTTGGATGAGAGCGTACAAGTCGATCGCCCGCCGGGCTCGAGACGACCGAGAATTCGGGCTGACCAGTTATCCGTATGAGCAGGGGCCTACAGTCGGAGCATCACCGGGGGTTTCTTCGAGCACCGCGATTGGCCCATCCGGAGAGGCCTCAAGAAGCAAAACAGTCTCCGCCCAGTCTTCGAGTACGAGGCCAATTACATCAACGCAGCCGGTTACTGGATGTCGTTTCACAAGGCCGCTATCTCCTTGCGATAGGAAGCTCTTGAGGAGAAGAAGGACTCAGACGCAGAGTACTTCGATGCATGGGCTCTGGTGTCGATTCGGTACGGATTACGAGTTGTGGGACTCCGCACAGAGTTTTACAAGATGGCCTCTCGCGATCCTACCTACGCTAAGCTTATCATGCCGAGCCTGGAGCAACGGAACGACGTCGCCGCTGCCGACGACCTGTCTGAGCCCCTCGAGAAGTTAGACAGCCACATGGCCACGCAACTAATGAAGGCGGTAGCCAACCTCAGCGCGAGCAACGCAACGAAGCGTGCCGGAAGAGGGAGCGCCGCCGCCGAAAAGTAATCTCCACAGGAAGAAGACGCCCTCTTTGGCAAGGCACGCAACATCAAGTCGAAGAATGGCGTCAAATAGGTTGCTCGGAGTGTCTTTGCCGAGCAATTCTATATGGGATACGCGATGCCCGTCGATCCCCTTTGTCCCTGGGGAAGGAGGGGAGTTACCCTATATTCCGCAAACAAAGGAGGATCGCCTGTTTGCTTCTGCAGATCTGTCAGAAGGCTGCCGCACGGGCATTTATCGGCAAGTGAGCCACGGCCACGCGAAAATGGCGCTGTCCAAAGGAGCAATAAATTCGTCCGCTTTCGTGGTTTGGCAAGAAGGAGACGAGGGTCGCAAAGGTCGTTTTGTTTCGAACTTCTGCAAACAGTCAAAGAGATGGGAAAAAGGCAGTTTCAGGATAGAATCATTGGCGGAGTTCGCCTCGGACATACAGAAAGGAGACCACTCTCTGTCAATGGATGTCCAGAAGGGATATAGACATCTCCGATTGCACCCCGACATGCGAGAATGGTTCATTTTTCGTTTGGAAGGGCGCTATTGTCAATGAGTCACCTTGCCGTTCGGGTGGGGACGCTCACCGCTTTGGTTCACACAGCTCATGGCAGTGTTCGTGAAAGCGTTGCGACTTCTGGGGTACCGCGTCCTCGCCTACCTCGACGATTTCCTTCTAGCTCCAACACCTTGCGGATTGGTTGCGCGGAAATGGCACTGTATAGGCGCCAGAAGGAAAGTTCAGGCGTTCATGGATCGCTCGGGTTGAAGCGTCATCCAACCAAAGGGGAATGGGTGGGATCTCCCATCGTGGAGCACCTTGGTGTCAAGATCGACAGCTTGGAAATGAAGTTCTACGTGGCCCCCAGGAAGGTGAGGCGCGTGCAAGATCTCTCCGCCAAGCTACTGCGTGAAGTGCGCTTAGGGCGACGGTGGGTATCTGTCAAGAAGCTGCGCCATTTTTGCGGGGTCTGCGTTTTCTTGACCCTAGCTATGCCGTGGGCGCGGTTCTACACTCGCTCGTTGTACTGGGACATGTCAGGTTCCAGGCCTCACGACGACAGAAACCAATGCAGGCTCAGTCACCAGGGCATCCGCGATTTGTTGAAGTGGAAATCGCTCACGGCGCAGGAGCTGTCTGGTCGACCAACAGTCTGTATGCAACCAACTGCAGCAATTCACACCGACGCGGCAGATCTAGGTTTCGGCGCGACCCTCAACACCCGAGACCTCCGGCCAGGAATCCCCGGACAGTGGACAGAGCAATGCGTGTGGAGTTGGCAGGACAGAGCGGAGAGCATCAGCTACCGCGAGCTCAAGGCCGTCCGTATGGCCCTCACAGGGAAAATCGGACTTCAAGTCCTTCGCGAAGGACGCAAGGATCTTATGCTGCACATCGACAACCAAGAAGTAGTTCATATCACAAATTCGTTCGTCTTCGCAAGTCGTCCTATGATGCGCGAGTTGCGACGATTGAAATCAGTCCTGGACCACCACGGGATCCACGTCAAATCGGAATGGATCCCGTCTGTCGCCAACAAATTCGCTGACGGGTTGTCGCGACGCTTCCCCCGTGGCGACTTGCAGGTCCGAAGGCAGGTGCGGCATTCCGTGCGGGCTGGAATGCAGGCACCCATCGATTCGTTTCCATTTGGCCCTCTAGGGGAACACCCACTCTTCCTTCGCCGCCAAGTGTACAAGGAGCTCTGCCAAGAGTGGGACCCCCTGGACGGCGTACGCCTTCTCTGTTCTCCTCCAGATCTGGTGGCCGCGACGGTCCGCAAGCTCAGGGCGACAGGGAGCCCGGCGGTGTTCCTCATCCCCGACTGGCCGCGACAGAGCTGGCATTCCCCAGCTCTCGAGATCGCGTCAAAAGTGGAATGTCTTCAAGGCCCGCCGGAGCGATTGTGGAGCGCAGCCAGGTCCCTGAACCCGCAATGGCGCCTCTTAATGCTGGAAGTCAACCTCAAGTTGGCACCAGATCAATGCAGCGCTTCTCCCTCGCCGATGCGGCTACCGCTTGCATATTCACGGAACTACGATACACTACTGGCGCTGCGATGTCCGCCCGCCTCGTTCTGGACTTTGCCTGGAGCGCTCGGACCACGGCTACTCGCAACTCACAATGGAAAGCGTACGTCGAGTGCTGTCTCGCTGAGGGCAGACGCTCCCTCCCGGTCACCGAAGCCCAATTGGGGGCTTTCATCGGCTGGTTGGTGTCCGAGCTCGAAGCTGGTCGTCGCACGGTCTCAAGTGCCTCCCTGCCCCAGTATCTCAGCGCTATCCGGCAAATGCACCTCGTACTGTGCGGAACTCCAGTGCCTAACTACCGGTTCG